GGCGTTATCGCCGGGGCGCTCGGGCTGCTGCCCGCCTCCGGGCGTGTATTTACGCCCAGATGCCTGCCCGCAGTCAGCGCTGGGGGAACGGCGAGGGGCAAGCGACGCTGTTCCGTGCCACACCATCGGGGTTTGGCTTCTTTCTTCACGGGGACGGTTCTGTACAGTATTTGATTTGCCGTAGCAGGCGCCCGGCTTGTTGCTGCCTGTTGCCTTTTACTGACAATGGAAATTCCTGCCGTTGCCATAGCACCAGAGCACTTGTTGCAAGGGGCTGGGGGGGGGGGGAAGAGGTGCTGCATTATTTCCCCTGATTCATGGTAGCCCCCCCTTAGCGGCAGCAGAACGCTGGTCTGGGAGACCTCAGCTCCCACCGCTGAAATAAAGAACGGATGATAAGTTATAATAACGCAAGCCTTTGTATTTCAGATTTCAGGTACTCAGACTCCACCTTTACCTTCACCTATATCGGAGGCTCCAAAAGGTACTTTTTTTGCAATAATGACTCACTTCGTTTCCTGCTTCGGTGAGCTACATTGATACAGCACAGTGCCAGGCTTTATGTTTCCTTTCCTTTTGCAAGGAGTGATCAGTAAATCATCTACATTTAGACAAACGTAAACTGAGGAGAAAGTGTTGAGGGAGGTGATCAGAAAGGTGATCCTAGTTGTCAGAAGCTCATTCCTCTAAGTGCTGTTCTGTGGCACGCTCCACCGTTTCTGTTTTTTAATTTATGTGTATACGTAGAAATTATAATGTGAACTTAACAGAAACACAACAAAGACAATACAACAAATATGAAATAAGTTAATTCATCTTTAAAAAAACTGAGAAAGAAATGATTTTAATAACAAATAAGCCAAATATCACATCAGCATCTAATTCTCTTGCATTTGAGAGCCATATTTAGTTCCACGACAGATGCAAGACTGTCTGCAGTTGACCAAATTAAGCTTCTCAGAAAATAAGTAAAATGTCAGGCTAGCTTATAACATAAAATATTTGTTGTTTTAATTGAATGTTAATTTAGACATTATTTCTAAATTAATAGAACAGTTTTTGTTTATAAATTGGCTTGTGCATTTATACATTTTTAATTACATTTCATCATTTGTTTTGTTTGTCTGTTTTCAAAAGAAAACATATTTAAAAGCTTGTATTAGTGGAACGCACATCTTTTTTGTTTTCCTGGCTTCTAGTTGGCTTTTACTTGATATAGTATTTAGAGTATATGCTAGGTCGTTCTCCTATCACTTAGTCTTACAAGGCTTAGAAAGACATCCTGGTTCTATTTATTTATTTATTTATTTTCCAAACAGTTCATCTGATACGTGCGGCAGTTGTGTTTCTTTCCCAGGGTACGTCAGCTTAAAGTACTGTATACTGAAATCTGATCTTTGCAGGTGAACCTTGCGATGCAGGCAGTGTGCTTATAGCCCTCGGTTCTGCTCTGTGCATGCTTCAGGGTCTGGCTGTAGGATCAGGCTTCCAGATGGTCCGCAGGCTCCTAGACTGCTCAGAAAAACACTTTCCTACTTCCCTAGCCTATTTCTTCCTATTGAAGGAAAGACTAACTCATATCATTTTCGGTGGAGCAGAACAGTTCATCCAATAGCTCAGAATCAAATGTATTTACAGGTTGCTTAAAATATACCCTTTAATGTAGGGTTTTAACATATGTTTTGGTTTGGTCTTGTTTTAAAAGATAGTTTTGGAAAACTTGGTGCAGTTGAAATTATCTTACAGAAGTACTACTTCTTTTCATTTAATTAAAACAAACTGAATTTGAAAGTTACTTTGCACTATTTTGTAATCCCAACATTGCAGCAAGAAACCAGGAAGTGAAACCTTTCTATTGTTTCCATTTTTCAAGCTGAATAAAGTAAAAAGCCTAAGGGCATAACTGATGGAAAACAAACTTATTGGTAACACTGAAGCAAAATATTGTCACTTCTACAAGGAGAGACAGAAGATGGCCATGCATCCCGCAGCCTAGAATTTTTACTAGGGTCATCCGCTTAAGAAGCTGTTGACTTGAAAGTAGTCGCAGGATCCTGAAAACTCAAGTTGAATTGAGATACAAAAGTTAAGCTTAGAGAAACTGATGAAAGTGGGTTAAATAGTGCATACTCAAATTTCACCTTCCTTTTGACATTTTAAGGACGCTTAGAAAGAATACTTTGAAAAAGGGTTTCATGTTCTCTGCTTGTTTTTTTTTTTTCGGATTTAGAGAGATGCTTTACAATATTCTTAGTATGCAGTGGCGTACTGAGTGGCTAGTTTATGATAGTAAGCTCTCTTCATACATAAAATGAAAAACCCTAAGCCTTTACCATTAAGGGCCAAACTGCTGTTTCTCATGTCAAAGATAAGTTAGTGGTTTATTCTTAGAGAAAGATGCTAGGTGAACATTGGGTATATTGTAATAAGTATAACCTTAGGGCAGGACTCCAGTGCAGGCTCTACAACATTCAACAGCGGTGACTTGTCTGTGATATCTGTTTAGGACGGCTATCCAAAGATCTTGTACTTGGCCATGATTTTTCTCCTGTCGACACTGCTGCAGCTATCGACTTTTTGAGTGGTGATCCCATTTTTTGACTACTGCACTCAGGAATTGTCCCTATATGGCAAAACCTCTATTAACTTATGGTACGCAATGAAGGTCATAGACGGAATATCAGCTTATATGCCTCGTTCTGTTACTTCAGATATTCAGTCTGATGACTTTGTATTTTTCAACCTGACATCAACACAGGTTTTCAAGTAATGGGCAAAGGGAATATGCTCAGTTTCCAAAGTGAGAAACAGGTTTAAATCAGTAAGAGTTGGAATGGTGTGTAAGGAGGATTACAGGATGCGATCAGCCCTTTAGCACTCTCTAGTGATGGTTCAAACTAGGACTTTTTCTTTGCTTCCCTTAGATGTATGACACTCAAATGTTAATGTGTAGTACAGCTTTGCTCTGTTTGCTCTGGCTAGGTGCAAGAACAGAAACACCTGAAGGAAGGCAGTTATGTTTTATGTTTGAGAGGGAAAATTCTTTGCCTTACCCTTGCATGAAGCAAGCTAAACATAGCTGGGGGGTTTCCTGTGCATACTGTAGCTGCCAATGGTACACATTAAGTCCGTGTCTCAGTGGAGCCAGATTCTCAGTAAATCAGTATAAGCCCATGGAAGTCAGTGTACCAGTACAATTTTGGGTATAATGATAACCTAAAATTTCTGTTTGTTTTTTAAACGGTTAACTTTATTTGTGTGAGATTTTTCTTCTGGGGCCCAACTTCTCTGACCTTATCAGATTTTTCACTGTTGCTTGGATTGATTGCACTGCCCCTTTGTACATTAGCACTATTCAAATATTGAGGTGGTGCATAACCACATTTCAGATCAAACCAAGCAGATAGGCCTGATCCAGAGCACACTTACAGCTTCTGAGGAGTTAATTTGTATTCCCAAAGTAAAGTCCTGAACCAAACCTTGAGGGCATGACTTAGCTTTTGTTCAAGTACAGAGCTTCCAGTGAAACCAACTGAGAACTATTATCTTTTTTGTTCATTATGTAGACCTGTTCCAACATTTGACCTTTAGGTGGTATTAAGCTATTATACTGTGTTAAATAGTAAATGTGTAAATGATCGTTAGGTAGGCAAGAATATGCTTAAAGAAGATCCTGCACTTGCAGGATTTTTCTTGAAAAGTTAGGAGGGAAGAATCTCTGTAAATACAAACATATTTATATTGCTTTAATTACCATAAATAACGCTTTACAAACTGTGTAGTTTAATTAATCATTTTGGCCTCTGTTTGGACAGTACTTCATTTTTTTCTAAACGGAATTGTGTTCACACTTCTAAATTATTTGTGTTGTTTGATAGTGCGGAGATGCTTCCCGGTTTGGAAAGTTGTAATGAGGAATTTATTAGTGAAGAACATCTTTGTGGCCAGTGTGAACACTAAATATGAGTCTATCAATTTAATCATTTAAATTTCATTGTCAGAAAGTGATAGTAAGGTGAGAGGTATGTCTTATAAAGTGAGGTGTTCGTTCAGATGCTGTGACTGTGCAAGATTTACTCTACTCTAACTACTTCTGGCAGAATATCAGAAATGGCCGAATTCTTTATGCTTTTTACTGCAGGAACTAAAGAGGATATTAAAGCGTGAACATGTTGAAGGGTTTTTTTTTTTTTTTAAATCTCTTGTCTCCTTTGTCCTATTATCTGTGCCTGTATGAAACATTGCTTCTCCAGAAACCCCACAGACTGAACAGAATTGCTGATCTGTCATCTTTCTAATAAAAATGCATGATGCCTTGAAGTTGTTTTCACTTGATATATCATTTGACATGGTTTACATAAAAGTAGTGCCTGGTTGCCCTGAAAAAAAGGTGCTTCATTTTTTAGTGTTTTTCTCCCCTTTTCTTTTTTGGAGCTAAACAAGGACATCATATCAGTTCTGATATATCTCTTTAATCAAATATGTACTTAACTGCCATTGGCAGTGAGGGACAGTGACAATAAAGGCTGTGCATGTGAACATATATTATACTGCAGCATATTTTAAAGAAAGTAGATACGACCTGTATGAACTAAACACAGAGATTAATTTTGTTGGCAGAATTTACATCTTCCATTTGCACAGTGGATTTTTATGTTCTGCTTTCCCTAATAATGGCAATTCTGTAAATGCATGGGAAGTTGAATAGTGGTCTGAAATGATTTAAGAACACGAGTAAAGATTTTCCTTCCTCTTTATTTTTGCTTTAAATAATGGCAAAATATGAACTTACGTTGTTTTGATTTTGAATGTTTAGCTTTCGTTTTCTGTTCAAGGGGTTATCCACAGTGCTTATTATTGTAGTACTGGGCGTTCTCTCGTAAATGGATGAGTTAATTCCCACCTCAGCGTAGCAGTGACTACAGCTAGAGACAGAAACCACATATCAGAAGTCCAGGTGCGTCATGTCCACCGTGTGTTTGAGCCACTTGATAATAATAAATAGTGTTAAATAACTTTCCCACCAGAGGCTCTTTGAATTTTTAGGCCCATACCTGACTGGTACTTATATAAATTTAATAAAACTCTGCCTACATCAGGATTCCATTTAATGAATGATTTTGAAATCCTGGTGTCATTGTGATAATACTGAAAGTCTTAAATACAAAAAACCTGTGAAGAAAATGGTTTCAGGCTAATTAATGCATGTTTTTATCTTAAAATTACATTCAGTTTAACTGTACTGTCGCAAAAAAGGAAAGACATTTTTAAACCAAAGCATAAAAATGTTTCCATCCGAAAACATCAAAATGGAAACATTTTTCTGAACATTTTGACTCTTCCTTTCTTTTCCAAAGTGATCCAGTTTAAGACTAGTCATTTCTGGATAGATTAGTTTTAACCTAGCTCATCTGCCTGGTTCATTGCATGGACGAATAAATGCTTTTACTGGCTTTAGGAAGGGAGCTATATGAGGGTTGGGAA